CCTTAGATCACGTGACACAGAATTAAGTGGGAGGCAGAACAGACAGAAAGACTGGTTTGTCCAGCATAATTCTGTACAATTAAATAGCAGACTCGTTTTGAAAGTTGCACCATGCAGTAACTTTGCATTGGACGGATTAAAATAGGCCATGAGGTGTATGTGCCTGCAGCCATGGTGGTAGTAACTCTCAAGCCATGGTTTGTTTAGACTTCCTAAATTGATAACAGACAAATAAATGCATTTGGGGGTGGAGGACAGGGATTATGCCCCAAACCGGGTTTTTCTGCTCAGAATTTTCCAGGAACAGCCATTCAGTTCATAGCTCAGACAACACAAATCACTTGACACCGTGTTAAAAGCTTGGATCCTGCCCACTGCTGCTGTTCTCAAGGTAACGCCTTTCAAATACCAGTTATCAGACTAGTTTTAGTAGATGGCGGAGCTTGCCTGTAACTTCTAACTCTGAATTTAGCCTCACAATTGAAATGTGGGTTTCCACAGATAACCAAATATGATTGTAATGCGATCAGCACAAAACAAATAGCCAGTACGGTCTAGATGACATACTTTAAAAATTAATAAGCGGTCGTGCATTCTAATCAACGGTTCTGTGCATTGGGTGGTGCCTTCTTTGCTCTCTGTTTGTATTTTAGTGCAGGCGGCTTTGGGGGAGGGTTTTTGCAACTCTGTGCTAAGACTTTTTCAGGTCGCAGTAGATCAGTGGTCAGAAGTGGAAGCTTTATGGAGCAGATTTCATCATAACTCCATAAGGTTTTTCTTTTCCTGAGAGAACAACCTTGTGTTTTCTCAGGTTTTGCTTTTCACCTGGTTGTATTGCCCAAAAAAAAGCAAAAGGTGCTGGTGGTTGGCACTCCTGGTTTCCAGGATGGGGTTCGAATCCCTGCGGCGCCCTTGCTTACATCCAGTGCAACTGGTGTTTATGTTTTTCTACCCATTCATGGCTCAGCTATTAAAGACACCTTTAACATGGCTGTTTTTTGTGAAGCAAAAGAGGATATTCTAACGATGGCTTCTTGTTCTCCTTTTAAGTTGATTTTTCGTCAATCGGTTAATTTGAACGGGGGAGCCTACTCTTTCTTGAGAAGAGGAGCAGCCCAGGACAATTGGGGTGGCCCCCCCTTTATTTCAACAAGTTACCTTCATTCCATTTGGAGGCATGTTTTTCACTCAGTGTGCCAGTGGTTTGTACTGCCTTATATAATAAAAAATGCAGCTTGGGCTCTTCCTAAGAGTATGATGGCTCATTCAGCAGGAGCACAGCTCCCTTCGCTGTAGGGCCCTTGTTACAGATGTATTGTAGAGCTGCCACTTGGAAATCTTCATGTTAAGAGTTTTCTAATAAATGATTTGATTGCTAATCCATTTGTCTCATTTCTGTTAATGCTTCTTCATATGAGATCAGTCGCTTGCTATCCCACCCAAGAAATGAAGTCCATTTTGGTACATTCTGTTGCCTAAACTGCAGTGGTCCCCAGCCTTGGGCCTCCAGATGTTCTTGGACTACACCTCCCAGAAGCCTTCACCACCACCTCTGCTGGCCAGGATTTCTGGGAGTTGAAGTCCAAAAACATCTGGAGACCCAAGTTTGGGGACCACTGGCCCCTAGAGTATCTTCCTTCGGTTACAGGCTACTACAAAGTAAGCGTGTTCACAGTATGTTCCAACGTGTTTTAGCGGGCAGACATCCTCCAGAGTAATTTCTTCCGTTGCTGCAAGCTTGTCAGTGGATGTCAGGGAAGCACGTCATTTTCTGGCACCTGTCTCAATAATTTTTGCCCCTTTGGTTTCTGGAATCACAGACTTGGGGAGCCTTGCTCCTAGGATACAGAATCAAAAACAAAAGGTAAAAAAGACAAAAACATTTGGCACCATAAAGACAAAGGGCTATATTTCAATATGAGGTTTTGTGGACGGGCCCCAATTCCTCAGACGTGGGATTACATTGGAAATACTCATTTATGGCCCCAAAAGAGACTGTTCTCTGGGCACAAGTTGTGACAGTGGCATTTCACACCTGGCAATGTGCCTAGGATGTAGAACTTTTGTAGGAGGCTGTCTTGGCCTCTTCCTTCCTGTATCTTCCACAAGTGGATGCACACCCATTATTTTTAGGCGTTTTTCTTTAATCTCGGAGGCTGTCTTGGCCTCTTCCTTCCTGTACCTTCCACAAGTGGATGCACGCCCATTATTTTTAGGCATTTTTCTTTAATCTCTGATTGATTAAATAATACCTTTAATTTTAAGGGGCCCCTTTCTTGTTGGGAGAGGAGGGAGGGTGACAAAGAAAAGAGGGCCACAACTGTTAAGGGAGAAGTAACTCCTCAGTGGCATAAAGCAGGTTTTTCAGAACAGGAAGATACGGCTTTCATTTCTTGTCAACAGACTTGTCAAAAGGGTCGGGCAGCACATGAGGGGAAAGCTCAGGTATGCTTGCTGTTCTGGACAGATGTGGACAAATATCGTGAACGGCAGTAAACCAGCCTCCTATGTACCTACACAGCATCGCATGTAATGCTGGTTCTGGCTAGTCATAACACCCAGTGTGGTGCAGGGTATAACATTGATGGAGCAGAATCTGAGAGATCCGAGTTCAAATCCCCACTCGGCCATGGAAACTTGTGAATCACTGAGTTCAAATCTCCACTCGGCCATGGAAACTCGTGAATCACTGGCGAAACCAAATAACTCACTTCCCTTGAAAATCCTGTTAGAGTTTCTGTACATCTGATGTGACTTGTCGATGCCTAACACACACACACACCTTACACTTTACCCGCTCTGTCCACATTTGGTGCCTTGAGCTTTCAGGCCCAAGTCTACAGGGGGAGGATAGAAGGCCTTAGGCCAGCAGAGATGGCGCACTTTGCCCTGAGTCCTTTATTTTCACCAGTTTTGAAAGGAATGTGGTCCCCAAACTGGGAACCTGGGGAGAATATGAAGTTTTGATAACCTGTTGGAACATTCTTGCAAAACTTGAGTTGGAACTTTTGGGTTTTCATGACTACAAGACCCAAGTCCCTATAGTCAATAGCCGCCTTGGCTGTGATTTTGGAGTTGTCGTCTATAAAGCCCCATTTCCACCCACACACCCTGTGTGATCACAAAGGGCCTACCTTGTCTTGGCTAGAGTAGGCTCAGTACAGCAATAGTGTTTGTACAAGAGCAGACTTGCCTTTTTGTAAGTAACTCAAATGAGTTGTGACTGGTGACCAGATTTAGGCTAATTAACATGCTGGAGACAGGAATCACAAAAGCACAGACTGTGTCAAAGTTCTGGCCAGTGCGACCTAGTAAAAACACCAGTTTCCCAGAACAAAATGGGAAGATAAAAAGAGATTGAGGTGAAGAGGTGGCTTGGCTCAATAAAGCAGAGCTCAGGTTGACCCCCCAAAGCACAACTGGGTATTGTACATTATTTTAAAATGCCTTTTCTTACACACATAATAATTCCCTCTCCCCCAATGACATTCCAACACAAGAGACCGCCAACCCTACCTCTCAAAGGGGGTCAAGCATTGGTGGCTCATGGTCAGGGCAAGAGAGGGGCTGGAATATTGGGGTGAGCCCCCCCACATCGCTCAGTTCCCTGTTTCTTCATCCTGTGACAAGAGGATGAAGATTAAATATGTGTTTTTTTTTGGGGGGGGGTCTTTCAGCTTGTCCCAAACCTGTCGTGGAATGATGATAAGCTCTAATACTACAAATGTGACAGAATAAATGATCCAAACCAACCCCCCCCCCCTTTGCCCCATTACAATTGCCTGTTTTGTTTGTAGCCTTACGGTGTGGGAAGTACAGCAAAATCCCATTTAAAAGAACTATTGTGGGCTAATCCAGATGGAAACGTCATTCCTGGCCTGCTTGCTGGTGGCAGCCACATACGGCTCACAAAGTCTGGATCTCCCCAGCGGGCTTTAGGGGATGTCGATGGGTTGCTGAAATAAATGAGAGGAGGCCTCCGCCCGTGCCTGACTAACACATTGGAGGTGACAGAGCTCCAGATATCTGGAAATGTGGATTGATAAAAATCCTGAACCCAAGGGCTGTCATCCTGAATCTGATGAGTTCCAAATCCAAATGTTGGCGCTCCTATGCATCCCTAAAAAGAACCCAACCCATAGCCGCCTGTTGTAGGATTTGACCCCGAAATGTCTCTGGTTGACATTGCCAGCCTGCCTTTGGGAGCTCACTTTGGGGGGGGGGGCAAATAAAAGTACTGGCATCTGCCCTGGGTTTGGGACGTTATTATTATTATTTTATTTTAATTTTATTTATTTGATTTAGATACTGCCCATCTGGCAGCCAGGGCCACTCCGGGCGGTTTACAACGGATAAAACAACAGAGTAACAAAGTAACACATACACAGAATAATAATAATCCAGTACAATTGGGCATAAATGAAATACTGTATCATAAAATGCAGTAAAACGAGTACAATACAATAAATTACAGTTAAAAGCATAGGATATTAAATATTAAGTTTTTGAGACATTCAGTGGAATGTGTGCAAGTACAGGTGCATAGAATTTTATCTAACTATACCGAAACAAGGTTGATGTCTTAAACTGCTTAATTTCAGTTTAAATATTATTATTTGGCCGTACTGTTCACTATAGACTGGTGCAAAGCGTAATGAAAGCTAGTATACCTACAGAAAAACTAGTATTTTTTTTTAAGAAAAATGATCTGTAATCACCTGCTCTTGTTTTGGTATCACGAAAAAGCTGGAGCACCCCCGTAATTCTTGGGGGGGGGTGTCCCAAATCTGCCCCACCCCACTCCCCAAGAAGCGTGCTGCTCAATTCCCCTCTCCTGCACCCCATTTTGCGCCTGTCTCACCTGGAGGGACTCCCCGTGAGCATCTGCCCGGAGAAAGGCGGTAGCCTCGCCTCACCTGTCCATGCTGTCTTTGTTGCCCTCCGATTGGCTGTTTGCGCCCGGTGGGCGTGGCCTCGGCTGGGTGATAACCGCGGCGGCGGCCGGAGCCGAGCGCATCCTCCAGTGACGCAGCCATGGCTTCGGGAGGCTCACCTGTATGGGCGCTGGTGGCGCTGCTTTCGTTGCTGCCCCTGGTGGCGCGGGGGGAGCGGGCGGTCGGGGCCCTGGAGGAGGTGCCCGTCTCCAACCCGGGGGTTCAGGAGGCCGCCCGCTTCGCCCTCGAAGCCTACAACAGGGCCAGCAACAGCATGTTTTGTTACAAGCCCGTCCGGGTCCTGGAGGCGGAGACGCAGGTGTCTTAGGTAAAACGGGAGGAGGAGGAGGAGGAGGCGCGGAAGGCCTTTGACCCAAGACTCTGCGGGGTTCGCTTTTTTTTTTCTCGCTGGCTTGATTATGTCCCCGATTGGTTTCTAGCCTCCTTTTCCTCTCTTCCCCCCCTCCCCCGAAAATGGAATCCAGTGTGGCATAATTAAAACAGGAGCAAATAAAAGCGCAATAACTAAAACTTAAGTTATTGGGGGTGTGTGGAAATGCTCTTTTTGGTTTAGGGTTCCTGCGAGCCTGCCCTTGGGTGAATAAGGCTGAGTGATGATGAAGGGGGACTGTCAGCGCTGGGTGTAACTGGGCAATATAACAGCCTAGGTGGCGGTCTGATCCTGAATCTGTTTGGCCCGGGGCTGAAATACGACTGTGGGATGCTAAGTCTGGTCCAAGGCAGGTTGCTGGCTTGAGACAGAATAGGAAATCTGTGCCCTGCACCGTATTTATTTGTATTTCATTTTATGTACTGCCCCCAGTAGTGTGATGATTATGGGTGGTTCATGAGAAGCAGAAAATGAGAAAAATGGGTGGCAGTATAAAAAACATAAATACCAAACAAATATAAAGGCACTTTTCTTGATGAGAGAGACTTGCACAAGAAGGTATTTAAGTAGGAAAAGCCATGGAAATTCATTCGGCACATGGGGTTGAAAAGTCTTGGAAGTGCTTGCCGAGATAGAGAAAATGCAATAAGAATCTCCCTTTGTTTTTTGGCTGTCTTACACATTGCCGTTCCAGATTTGCTCCTTGACACGCCAGCCACACTCTTCTTGTCTGACAACCGTATAGAACAGAAAGTTTCTGCCTAGGTCAAGTTGGCGGTGTGGGGAAGCCGTGACTGGCAAGGCGAGGGAGATCTTGAAAATTTGGAAGTGGTGGGGGGGAATGGGGAGTTCCAGGGGGGGGGGGTTAGGATCAAAGAGGATGATGACCTGAGGGGCAGAAGGAAAGGGCTGAAGCTGTCCTAGAGACAAGATTTCTGGATGTTAGGTGGAGCTTTGGTCCCTCAAAGCCTTTGCTACAATCCTGTGAAAAGAGGAGGGAATTGGGGTGTGTGTCAGCGTTGGGCTGGATCCGAGGGCTTGAGTTCGGCCTTGGGAATAAATCTTAGCCTCCTGGGGTTGTGAGGAGGACAAAATGAGGACAGGAGCACTCTAGACCACCCTTAGCTTGTGGTCGGAGAGGCAGGGTATAAATGTAACCAATAAACAAGTCAAGATTATTTGGCAGTTTCAAGAAAGGTTCATAGAAATCATAGAAAAGTGGAAGTTGGAAGGGGTCTCATAAGGCCATCCAGTCCAACCCCCCTGCTCAAGGCAGGAATTGAATCAAAGCATATCGACTGGGTGATGATTTAAGTTTCTCTTGAATGCCTCCAGTGTTGGAGCACTCACCAAGTCCCGCGGTCACTGGTTCCCTTGTTGTACTGCTCTAACAGTTAGGAAGTTTTTCCTGATATTCAACCGAAATCTGGCTTCTTTTAACTTGAGCCCATTTGTTGCATGTCCTGCACTCTGGGATGATCGAGAAGAGATCTTGCCTCTCTTCTGTTGTTTTACTCCACTGTCAGCTGAGAGGCTTGAAGGACTTTCTTCTTGAACTGATACCTCTTTTCTTTTCTGTGGGTGTTGGCAAGACGGTGGGGAAGCCTGGAGAATGCAGCGTTTCCAGGTTTGGATTGCTGTTGGGTGGCTGCTGTCAAGAGGTGCTTATATTGATTCATTAAAAAAAGAAAGAAATCCCCCAAAGCGCTCTCTCTCTCTCTCTGCTGACTCACTGGAACTACTTTGGGGGCATGGAGCCGTGCACATTTAAAAAAATTTTTAAGTATCATGTTCATGCTGTATTAACAGTCCTTCCCCCCCCCCACTCCCCAGGTGGTGTCAGGAATGCAATACTATCTGACGGTAGAGATCGTGAACACGCGGTGCGAAAAGAAGGTTGGCTGTGGATTGAAGAACGTGGGCTCGGAGAACTGCGCAGTGCCCTCCGAAGCAGAACAGGTGAGATGGTTTGCCGAGAGCAAGCATGTCAGGGTTTATCTCATGATAAAGGGTGGTACCCTTTCTGGAATACGTCTCTTAACTGGCTTTGAATTTGTAGCAAAATGCGCAATCACAAACAAGGAGAAAAACCCAATTATTTCCTCCCCCAATAAAAAGAATATAGTTACACCTTGGCCTAAATCTGGTGGCTGGTCTCAAACAAAGTCGACCATCCCATCAGTTGGTGAAAGGTAAGTCAACAGTGATATAAATCCCGTTGGTTCGGTTGGTCCGTGTTATCAGAGGTTTGTCCTAGAGGCTGGACTGCTAAAATTCTAGATTTCCTTTTTAGATAAGAGATCACAAGTGGAATCTATGGGCAGTCTGTTGTTTTTCATTCGGGATGATCGCTTTCAGTTCCTTAGAATTAAAAACAAAACAAAAAAACAAAATTAAAATCCTTCCTGTAAACTGGAGTAAAGTTTTGACAGATGTTTCTACATGTATTTTTGGAAGGTGTATAAGGTGAAATCATGTCGTACTGTGCAAAGATCAGATATTTTAGCTTTACTTTTCACTAAAGGGGGTTGTCGGAAACCCCACTTTAGTGAAAAATAAAGCTTTTGGGAAGCTCTGAGGCCCAGAAGGGGCCAGTTTTAGGAGATGGGTTCGCCACCCTACACGCCTGTAAACAACCCTGAGGATTAGTTTGAATGCTGGAGATCCCAGGTTCCTAAAGTGCTCAGAACCCTTGGGGGGGGGGGTTGTCAAGCAGTACCATGATAATGAAAGCAACATGGCCACCCTCCTATTGGTGTTTACACCGCTGCTAATTAATGAGGTGCTGGGCATGTCTTAGTCACATGTCTCGTGACATATGCAACTGCAGTGAACTCCGGCACCTCATTCATCAGCTGCAATTAGCTGATCCGTTGGTGCTCATGCAGAGCATATGTGAACACCAGTAAGATTCCAGCCATTGGAAATGACTGACATTTTTTGAACAACGCACATTATATGTATCTTCACATACTTTTGCCTGCAGTCTAGCAACTAGGTCTTTGTAGTCTGGGTCTAGTGTGGCTTGCAATCTACATGCTTATGTTCCCTCCACCCCCTCAGAAGTTAATGCTTCGCTTAGATCCCCCTTTTTTGCAAACTCTGTCTTTTGGGTGGCAACCGAGGGGCCAGACTGCTGGATAGCTCAGTGGTTTAGGCATCTGGATGTGGAGACAGAGGTTGGGAGTTCAGTTCCCCACTCTGCCTCCTTCACAAGGGTTGGACTTGATGATCTATAAGGTCCCTCTTAGCTCTGCAGTTCTGAAACGATAATGGTCGATCACAGTAATCTAAAACTGGCACCAAAGTTGCCTAACTATCAGATTTTGGGGACAAATATCACATACAGTGTTGCCTCGCGTAACGACGTTAATTCGTTCCAGCGAAATTGCTGTAGAGCGAAAACGTCGTAAAGCGAAAATAAAAACCCATTGAAACGCATTAAAACCCGGTTAATGCATTCCAGTTGGCTAAAAACTCACAGTCCAGTGAAGATCATCTATATGGGGGACATTTTCGGTGCCTGCATAGCGAGGAATCCGTCCCTAAGCATAGCGGGGAGCCATTTTGAGCACCTGGCGGCCATTTTGAAAACCCGACGATCAGCTGTTTTGATTGTTGTAATGTGAAGAATCGGTTCCCTGGGAGCCGATCTTCACAAAGCGAAAAAAAACCCCATTTAACACATCGTTTTGCTATTGCAATTGCGATCGCAAAAAGATCATCGTAAAGCGGATTCATCGTAATGCGGGGCAATCATTAAGCAGTGCACGACTGTACTTCATTCCCAGTTCACTTTGAGCTGGGTTTTTTTTATGTAGATACTCAACCCAATTTTTAAGAGCCCCATTGAGTCCCACAGAACCCCGACTGCTCTCCTGAGTTGTGTGGATCTGGTTTGCTCTGCTGTCTCGAGATCTTATCACTTAGACCCCTTGTATTAAAAGGCACAGTTCTAAATTAGCATCGGCGGGTTCTACCATTTGCTCCAGGACAGCAAGAGGCTATAGAGAGAATTGTGGCACACCTGCTTTGCGTGGAAAAATGTAAAGCAGGATTTAGCCCTTACAGGTTTCTGGCCAAGAACCGGCCGAGCCCCTGCTGGTCCGAATGGAAACGGGCCAAGGGTTTCAAGCAACTTCCTCTTTTTACGTAAAAAGTCATAATCCCTTGAGTTCGTCTGAAAGATAAGCCTGTTGAGGTGGCTGTTGGCTGACCTTTTCAGCTAAGTATAGAGGAGGATATTCGATGTTGAATTTGACTTTGCTAAATCCTGAAATGACAGCTGTTCGTGGGACACAATTATCCAACATCCTCTGGCCAGCTCTGCTGGACCCGACGCTGGATAAGCACTTAAGAACCTTTTTGTGGTTCCACCACGTTGAGCACCCCCTACAACAGCAACATGGTGCTCCCCACACATTTCGAGGTCCACTTCCACAACGTCTTGCCATTGGCCATGCTGGCTGAGGCTTGAGGGGGAAATTTCAGGATTTCACCACGCCTGGTTGCTTATGCGTGGTTCACACCAGTTGGGACACATTCTGTAGCTCTTGCCAATGGCGCTTTCTTACTCCTACCTTGAGAGCCAGGGCTGAGCTTCCAGACATCTCAGTGGGGGAAGAAACACCGGGAGACACAGCTCAGCATCTGAAGCCCCACCAGTGGCCCTGCTTGGGGGAGCTGGGACTTCTGTCTGCAACGTGGCTGCTTCACCCCAAGCCGCAGAGCTTTGCTATAGACCTGTTTTCATTGTAAACATTGCGTAAGCCCTCAACACTTCCTGGTAGGAATATTATGAGCCACTCCTTCCCTGTATTTAAGAATTAGTCAACATAAGAAGGTCATGAGAGGGAGGTTGTCTGGTTGACGCTGGCAATCAGCTTCTCTTTTTGTCATCCTGTTGATGACAAAAGTCATCAAAACGAGTGACTTGTGACAGGGAGGAAATCCACTCTTGATCTCTTCCTGCTTCTCTTATAGAGCAGCCTGTATTAGCTCGGGTTGAAGGCTCCAGGGTCACGGGCCACTGGTAGCCCTCCAGATGTTGCCAGGCTGCAACCATCTGTCCTGCCCAGCTTGGTTAATGGTGAGGATGGACCAAAACTGCAGTCTGAGGACATCTGGAGAGTCTCACCTAGGTGGCCATCCCTGATTTAATACACCCCTCCACAAATTTTCCTTCCAGTTGGTGAAGCTCTCAAAACCTGTACTCTTTAAGTAATTAAAAATATTTTATTATTTATACATTTCTAAGTAATGACTGTGGATGAAAACCAGCAGTTCTTGTGGTGGTGAATTTTAGGCACCGTTTTAACAAAGGTTTCAGTCTTTAGGTGTGACTTTCCAGATGTTGGTGAATTGCAACGCCTGGGAATCAAGGCCAGTCATGGTGAATGCTCTGACATCTGGATTGCTGGCTTTCATCCTCTGTATTTTAAAAACTGATTTCGTCTTTTTGTAAATTTCCCCCATACACAAACCAACCAGGTTAGAGCTCTTTGCAAGAGGGATTAAAAATAGCAAGGCAATGAAAATAAAACTTTCAAACAAGCAGGGGATAAAAAGCAGCTAAATATTTATTTATTTACAATATTTACCCCACCTTTCTCCCTAAAAAGGACCCAGAGTAACATTAAAATACAATGTGTAAAAGCTAAAAACAGCAAGTATGCAACTATTAAAAAGAAGCAAACAAGCAAAATACCATGGTAAAATGGTAAACAAAATCATAACCAAAAACAGATTCAAAGTAAGAAGGCACAACACTCCATTTAAAAACTCTTCCCTGATGGCCAGTCACAAAGGGAAAGCTTATCTAAAGAGAAAGATCTTTGCCTGTTTGTGCAAGGATGGCAAAGATGGGGCCAGCCTGGCCTCCAGTGGCAGGGAGTTCCAGAGTCTGGGAGCAGCAACAGAGAAGGCTCTCTCCTGTGTCCCCCACCAAATGCACCAGTGAAGTTGGTGAAGCTGAGAGAAAGGTCTCCCGTGATCATCTCAACATCGGAACGGGCTAATAGAGAGAAACACAGCCTTTTTGATAGCGGGGATCCATTTAGAGCTTTATGTTGGGTTTTTTAGTTCCAAGTGGGCCATTCAGATATTTATTCCAACTCTGAAAAATGCTTACCATCAGCTATGTTGCTCGGGATTAGCTGGACTATCTAGAGCAGTGATCCCCCAACCTTGGGCCTCCAGATGTTCTTGGACTTCAACTCCCAGAAATTCTGGCCAGCAGAGATGGTGGTGAAGGCTTCTGGGAGTTGTAGTCCAAAAACATCTGGAGGCCCAAGGTTGGGGACCACTGCTCTAGAGGGCCAAAGGCTGAGAGCCACTGGGAAGACTGGCACACCAGAAAGTTGAGCATAGAGCAACTCAACTCATCAAATATCTGACGAGCAAAGGTCTTTGTGTGCCCTGTGTTACATTAGTGTTGTGAGAGGGATCCTGGCCTTCAAGATTATGCTTGTAGCTTGAATCCAGATGGGGGCAACTAGGAGCACTCTTGGGGGGCTGGGTTGCAAAATGCAAATAATATTTCAGGTCCTGCTGAGAAGTACAAAGTCCAGGCTGCCAGGATGTTTTGTGTTCTTGGACAAACTTTGTGTTGAGTTCATTCATGCTTGTGAAGGATAAGGGCAGGCATGAAGAAAGCAGCCTTCCAGATGTTCTTGGGCTACCAAACTCATCAGCCTTATTGTGAAGGATGATGGCAGTTGTGGCCCAGAAATATCTGAAAGCTTCTCTTTGGACTTGTCATGCCGTCAAACTTGCCTCCCCCAAGCAAGCTGCAACATTTTTGGGCTATTTTGGGTGTCCTTTCTAGAAAAAGAAGACTTCCTTGCTTTCAGAATCTTCCCCATTTCACTGATTGTTTTTGTTGTTCCCTTAAATCTCGTCCAGCTCCAGTTTTATAGCTGGAGTTTATGACTGGCCTTAACATTCAGCTCCGTTGTGTGGGCAGAAGACATCCCGACCGTGCCAAGAAGAGATTTTGTTCCCGATCATTTTGCAAAAATGCAGAACGGTCATCAGCCTACTTAGATCATTGCATGAGGTAGGGTGTGGAACTGGGAGAGCCGCATTCTTGCCTCTGAGGAGCCATGAAACTCACGGTTGACGTTCGGCCGGTCCCCGTTCTTCATCCCAACTAACCTGTAAGGATAAGCTCATTAAGAGAAGCCAAGTAAAAATACCAAATTATTAAAAACGAGGAAATCTAAAGAAGATACTCATGAATCACTATCGATCTCTGTAATCAACAAACAAAAGTTAGATTTAAAAGACTTTAAAGCGTGGAATGGAATCTTCATCTCCCTGAAGTTATGGTGATTTAGTGATCACAGATAACCTGGTCTGCTGGGACCCTGGATCTTCAGACCGGCCTTCGACTTTATTGGGTTTCCGTGGGAAAAGTCTCCAAAAGTCCAGAGGTCTTGGCTCTTTTTAACCACATTTTGCAGACTGTTTGCTCCCCACGCAGCCTTTTGCCCTCTCCCTTCCTTCAGGGATTTAAACAGGGATGAAACAGGCTACGTCTTGAGATGCTGTTTCTTCTGGTGCCACGTGTGCTGCTGGAAAGCTTGCTCTGGGTTCGTCTTGTTCTTGGGATGAATTACCGTCATGCCCGCTTGTCTTTCCAGCAAAAGGGGTGGGAAGTGCCAACGTGTGGGAGGGAGCTGGCACCTGGCTCAATATTCTGTCCAGGATGCACTAATCTATCTGGCCAGCTTCCACTGTGCCTCTGCTTCCATGAGCCACCTCTTTTTCAGACTGGCGGATGCCATTTTCTTTCAAAGGCTGTCATGGAGTTCAAGATTGCGTCGAAGCCACATTTCCTAGGTCAAACCATTGTCAAACCCGAGTTTGTGCCTTTGTCAAGGAGGAGACCAGGGCAAGGGGTTTGCTTCGTTTAGCTTTTGCTAGCAAACCTTCTGGGAGTTCATTACCACCCCTCTAAGTCCCTGATTCCTTGGTGAAGCGTTCTGCCCGTCCTTCGAATGTGTCCCGTCCATTTCCCATAACTTGGTGCAGCTGATTGCCAAGGTGCCCGGGCATCTCTAGCGAGTCGCAGTAAGTTAGACAAATGTTCTACAGTGGCCGTAATGTTCAACTCAAATCTGCTCTCCTGTAACCCCCACCCATTAAACCTGGAGCTGTCCTCTGGCGAGCGCCAAGAGAGCATGTCATGGCTTTGTTAGACTTGACAGCTTGTCAAGGGTTCAAAGGAGCTGTCTCCCCTGTACCATGTCTTCTCTCCCGCAGAATTGTTTGCCCAAAGCAAAAGAATAGGAGAGTAACTCCCGTTTCCCCCCCCTTTAGTCACCAAGCCTTCTTTTGATGAACTTGGGATAAGATCATTAGGTAAAGGTAAAAGTTCCCCTTGACAATTTTTGTCCAGTCGTGTTCAACTCTAGGGGGTGGTGCTCATCCCCGTTTCCAAGCCATAGAGCCAGCGTTTTGTCCGAAGACCATTTCCGTGGTCACATGGCCAGCGTGACTTAGACACGGAACGCTGTTACCTTCCCACCGAAGTGGTCCCTATTTATCTACTCGCATTTTTACATGCTTTCGAACCGCTAGGTTGGCAGGAGCTGGGACAAGCGACGGGCGCTCACTCCGTCGGGTGGATTCGATCTTACGACGGCTGGTCTTCCGACCTTGCAGCACAGAGGCTTCTGCGGTTTAACCCGCAGCGCCACCAGCCTAATTTCTCGTACTCTTTCAAAGTCGCCCTCTATTTTTTTCCATGGTGACAAATGGCTGCAGTTTAGAGACTAGAAGGGAATAGAACTCGCTCTGTCTCCATAGCCATTTTCCAGGGAATAAATGAAATTCACGCCTTCTTGTTCTTTGGTTGAAGTGTCCGAACTTTATGCGGTTTTCGAAGAAACAGCCATGGTGAGTTCGTCTCGCACTGCCGCAGCCCTTGAAAGAGTAACAGTGGCGACATACTTATATTTTGATGAGCTGGGTTTGTCAGCTTCTGTGGTTCCTGGGACTTTGGAATGAATAAGATTGTTTTCATCTTGTTCTTGGAGTAAGTTGATTGAAGAAGTAACCTCCGGCTGAGGTGGCTAGTCTGTGGTCACTGCATGGAGGTTGGGTGGCGTGCTCCTCGGAACAGGTCAGAGATACAGTGGTGCCTCGCTAGACAGTTACCCCACATGATAGTTTTTTCGCTAGACGTTGACTTTTTGCGGTCGCTATAGTGATTTGCAAAACAGTGATTCCTATGGGGGAATTTCGCTGAACAATGTTTGGTCCCTGCTTCGCAAACTGATTTTCGCTAGACAACGATTTTGATAGCTCCCTCTGTGCTCACAAAACAGGTGTTTTCAGGACCTAAGCTTTGCAAGACAGTGATTTAAACAGCTGGTCGGCGGTTCGCAAAGCGGCTTTCCTATGGCCGATCTTTGCTAGACAACGACGATTCTTCCCCATTGGAACACATTAAAACAGGTTTCAATGCATTCCAATGAGGAAATGCTTTTCGCTAGACGATGATTTCGCTAAACAGCGATTTCAGTGGAATGGAGTATCATCGTCTAGCGAGGCACCACTGTAATCTCTGGATCAGAGTAGATGTAGAAGGGGTCCCTTGAAGGAAATTGTTGGCGGCCCCAATGACAGGGAGTGGGGGCTGTGCCTGAAGAATCTCGTCAATGGATCTCTGAATTCGTTTCCTCAATCCTTGTGTTTGCATGTTACACTTTGTTGAAGATGAGCAAGTTCTAGTGCTTCAGGGCTACTTCCAGAGGACTCTCTAGGAGATGAATCTGCCCTTATCGATGAAATGGGCCATGTCCAGTTTTTAAAAAAACACCAAACTTGTTTTTAAATTTTAAAAAATAGATTTTTTTTTTAAAAAAAGTGAGAGGGCAGCTTATTTTAATGAACTGTGCTTCCTATGGGCCTGGTTATCTTGGTTTCTATGGGAACATCAGCTGTTTTAATTTTGGGAACTTTTCAGAACAATCCTTAAAGGCTGCACAATGTGCATTGCAAGCTAACGGATGTTGTTGCTTTTAGCTGTGGATTTTTCTGCAGGTGTGAAACCCTTTCCATTTCTGATCTGTTTCTCTTTTGTCCCTTTGTCAGCTTATGTTTCAAGTTGGGTCAATCTAAAACAAACCACAGTTCAGATGTAATGACAAGCTATGGTTTAATCAGACCAAGATTGGTAATGAAGGTTTGCCAACCATGGCTTGTTAAGACAGTTTCAGAAAACAGCAACAACAAGCTAGCATTCGGCACCCCTGCTCCTGGCTTGCCGTTGTGTGTGAGCCCAGCTGTTGAGTTGGACTAGTGTCCAGGAGGGGTGACCAAGATGAGGTGGAGGATGATTCTTGTACTCTATCCAGAAAGAGGTGGCTCAGTTTCTGACTGGACTTGTTCTCTTTGCCATGTATGCAAGAATTCCCACTCAATGGAAGCGCGCTAACTATCTCAATCCCATTTTTGTCTCTTTCCCCCCTCCCCCAGAAGCAAATCTGTGAATTCGTGGTATGGTCCCGTCCGTGGATGCAAGACACAAGGCTGTCCTCCATCAGCTGCACGCCCTCGAGTTCCTGAATGTCACAGAAGCTGAAATGGAACCACGGCTCGGAAGCATGGCTCACTATTTCTGTTATTTTACTTTTCCGACTTGTAAAAATCATTCGTCTTGATCATTCTTTCTTCTGTGATTTGGTTTACTGGTCTTAATAAAGGTATTTTCTTGACAGCTTGAAAAATGTACATTTTGCAGTCATATTTTTAAGCGCTAGTTGAATTAAAGCCCCAAAACAGAAAAAGGGAAGTTCCCCGTTGGCTACCTACAGGAGTGGCACCTCACCTTTTATGCGAATTTCAGCTCTTTTCCCTGAAATCTTTTTTAACAATATTATTTTTCCCTTTGGGGGTGGCTGCATGTGTTGTGTACTGAAGTGAAAACTGGTTAACGCCCCCCCCTCAAAAAAAAAGGCTGGCAGGCCTAAAATTGATTAATTGGAAATATGATGTTGGAGGAGAGCTTTTTAGGAATCATGCCAGAGAGTAGGTGCTAGATAATACCAAAATTCTCAGTGGGGTCCAATAGAGAACCGAGTTCAAATCCCCGCTTAGCCAGAAAAGCTCACTGGGGGAGTAGAGCTGGTAAAAGCGTTCCTTAAATTTCTCTTACTTTGAAAACCCTGTTAAGGGTCACTTATTGATCGGTTCCAACTTGACGGTACAGAAAAGACACAGAGATCATGGAAAATTCTACCTGCTCAAGTCTGAACTCTTAGAAGTCTCTCTCCCACCCACCACCCACCTCACCAGAAATGCCAGTAGGAACTTCTGGAAACTGCAGTCCAAAACTCATTTTTTAAAAGGTCTGCTTGTCGGCAACGGGAACGTGGTTTCCACCACTTCTAGCCGATTCTTTTTAAACCTGGAAGGCCAGGAAAGGAACGCGGCCATTCTGCATGTCAAGCAGTGGCTCTGCTCGTTGAGTAACAGCTCCTCGTTTTAAGCCATGATGTACTTCAGTTACAGAGAAGCTCACCTGAACAGCCACGCAATGCCATTTCAGCCGGGAGCAGTGACATTTAGAACAAACGTCCCAGGGATCAGGTGCATCGAGGCATAAACCAGGGCTGGCATCTCTTCGGGCAGAAGCGTTGTGCTTGGCCTTTGGTCTGTTTGCAAACCGGGTACTTCCCGTCCACCTTAACTGCACCTCTTGCAATGCCTTGCCAAGGAAAGCATTCGTGAATGGCCCCTTTCAGAGGTGCAGCATCTTCTTGCTCAGTGTTTAAAAGGCTCTTCCGACAGGACTGTCTGTCCCTGTGGCGGGGCTCAGATCAAGCCGAATGCGTTCCTATGACCTCGGATCTGCTTTTGGGGAGGGCCTGTCCTAATGAGGAAAAGGGGGGAGGGAATGTAGTCTTTGTACACAATCCAAAGGCAAGACTTGAGTATTTCATCTAGCAAGACAGAGAGAGAGAGAGATTCAAACCCACACTGGATTCCGGAGGTGGAATCCGAAATCTTCACATTTGACCTGAGTCTGCAGCTCCCATCTTGGAACTTCCTTTAAACAACGTGGCCTGTCCCACATCAATTGCCTAATTAAGGACCACGAGGGTTCAGAAACTAGCTCATACTTTGAACCCTGTCGGTGTTCTTTAAACAACGTGGCCTGTCCCACATCAACTGCCTAATTAAGGACCATGAGGGATCAGAAACTCGTACTTTGAGCCCTATCTGTGTTAGGAAAAAATGTCTCAACTGTTAGAGCAGTACGACAACGGAACCTATGACCTCGGGAGGTGGGGAGCCCTCCAACGCTGGAGGCCTTCCAGAGAACGTTAGACAACCCTCTGTCAGATCTGCTTTGATTCGAATTCCTGTCTTAAGCAGTGGGGTGGACTCAATGGCCTTATAGGCCCCTTCCAACTCCATTATTTTATGATTATCCCCCCCCAATGGTCTAATAACGATGTCACCCATCTTTGACTTCAGCTTGTTTAGTAAGGAAAGGTTTAACTCGGATTTGCCTCTGAGATCCCTGTTTTTTTTTTAGGTTCGTTTGGGAACTGGGGGGGTGTCTCTCTCCTATCGTTATGTTCTGCAAGGCAGCCCTACCAATTAGGTAGAACGGGGTGTCAGAGAAAGGAAATAAACGTGTCATTTATTTTCTTATTATTGAATTTATCCAGAGATAGTTGCTTGCAGAGGTTTTTCTGCTTCTTTCCCCAAATTTGCTGGAATAAGCTGCTAGCTAGGTGTGAGCGAAGGAGATGCCTCGACGGCCTGTTTTACGTGGTTAACTCCCTAATGCCCTAGAGAATGGGGGGCTAAGACATCAGACCATGAACAGTATTTGGTTGTTCCTTTGGGACAATCCATAACTGATAGGAAAGACAAGAACGACAGAGGGGGAAATCTGGGGAAAGGAACTTAGAATGTCATCATTGTTGACCAAAGTACAGTGGTGCCTCGCTTAACGATTGCTTCGTACAACGAAAAATTCACTTAACGATGGCTTTTTCGGAGCAATCTTGTGCTTCACTTAACGATTTTCCCTATGGGCGATTTTCGCTTAATGATTTCGGGACCATGCTTCGCTTAACGATGACAGTTTTAGGTCCCCTTGTTTCGCTTAACGTTTTTTTACAGCCCCCGTTTTTGCTATTTTTAAAATATTATAATATGTTTAAAATGTTTAAAATGCTTGGAATCGTTAGTGCACCTAATAAAACTTTCGTTAACTTAATTTGGCTTTGTTCTGAGTCTTTTTGAATTTTTTGTAAATTTTCCCCCCATTGAAATAGGCTTCAATGCATTTCAATGGGTTTCGCTTAACATTTTTTCCTATGGGGATTTTCGCTTAAGGATGGTAATCCGTTCCAATTGGAACAGATTATCCAGTTTTCAATGCATCTCTATGGGAAATGGTGTTTCACTTAACAATGTTTTCACATAGCGATTTTTTTTGGAACCAATTACAATCGTTAAGCGAGGCACCACTGTACAAGAATCCCTAATAACTGGAGTGCTTCCCTCAAACGTTGCCTTGAAATCACAAATGGAGGGCCGGTGGTGTGGGTCCAGTAATGGACCGAGAACTTGGGGAAACTGGGTTCTTGTCCCCCAATGAGCCAAACTCAGCGGGTCGCCCCAGGCCAGTTGTCGCCTCTCAGGCTGATTAACCTGGGAGGAGGTCCGGTCATTAAATACGGAGGTGCAGAGCCAGGTCAGGTGAATTTACAGGGAGAAAGGAAAGAGATGTACCCGTAACTAAGAGAGGGTTGTGCTGCGTTGTCAGACCTGATTTTTTTAAAATTTTAATTTTACGATTTCATGGCTTGTGGAGTGGAGCCAGATGGAGGGAGGGCTCCTCCCTGCCCTTTTATCAGCAAGTCTCCCACCTCGAGCCAGACAGCCCCTCGCTTTCCAGTGTCCCCTTGCCAAAAAGGTGGGCCTCCTGGGTGCTGTTGCTCCTCTGCGGGGGGGGGGGGCTCCTCCTGGAGCCGCCG